ATAATAATAATTATATTATATTATTAATCTGATAAAATGTATAATCAAGTATAATAATAATTATGAAAAATCAAAAACCACTCATGGAGAATTAAAGAGGAAACATATATATAATATTTAGAATATGAAATTATAATTCATGCATGTGTACACTTAATTTGATCAATATTTTATTGACAATTGCGAAGCCGTGTTAATTCTCCTATTTAAAACATATATTTATTAATTTTCTAAATAATATTAAATATACATATATACTAATAAAATAATAAAAATAACAAAGAGATTTTATAAAATGGAAGAAAGAGAGAATATTCATGGTTCACTCATTCGTTGTTCTAACCGTTCTTGTTTATTTGGTAACTCATTGAAATACAAATTTGCTGCGAAACTTAGGGGGAATAAAACGGAAGGATTCCGTCACGTTCTGGCAATGTCGACTCGCCCTCGAAATCATTAGAAAAATAACGCATTTCACGCGCGAACGAATCCATTAATAAAATCCTCGATGTTAAACTTAGTTCGTTAATAATGATTATGTTAATAACTCGTTAATAGTCGCTTTATGCGCCTTTATGCGAGTCGCGCTCCATCGATCCGAAACGGATGCATTAATTTACCACCGGTATTTCCCCTCCCCGCCCCGCCCTCTACCACGATGCCAAAGATCGGAGATTGCATCGCGTTCATAAAATATTCATAAAATATTAATCGTTCTCTTTAAACATTCTCGTTCGGCATTCTTAAAATATTAATTATTCTATATATATATATATTCTTTTCTACACAAATTATTTAACAATACGCAGAGCTTCCGGAACGTAAATTAAGCGGAAGTAACCTCGTGAAATTTTATTCATTTCAGTCTACAATTTAATAATCTAATCTTTTAAAATATCGAATTATCGTAATATATAATTAGTGTAGTCATCGTCGTAGCGCTAACTTTTAGACAGAAACGAGCCATTTCGTCTTGTGTAGCGGCGATTTCCGTTAAATAATCTATGTACATAGACGAGCCCGCATCCGGGCGAACCGCAGGGGTGATAAAAGAAGCTTCCGGTTCGACTCGAGGAGCGCTCGGAAAGTGACAAATGGGCACAATCAATATTACATGACGTTCGTTGATATGTCTACTTAATCTCGAAATCTTATTATTGTACGTCCACCCTGTACAACACTCAACAATCTCGATGGGAGAGAGACACACACTCGTTTATTCTTTTTTTTTTCTGTTTTTTTTTCTTTTATACAGATCGAAAGGAGGACCGCACAGGCTTTTATAACACACGGCCACAGGACCATTTCGCGATGAAATTTGCGTGATACGCGATTAGAAAAATTTGTCGGTAGTTAAAATATTATTATTATTATCGTCGTCGTATTATTGTTCGAAGGCTTGCCCCTGTCAGGTCCCGTCCCGCAGCGTCCTACGAAACTACGAGACGGCTCATGCGGGCATTACCCTGTGACAAGACCCCGCATGGCGGTGGTTACCCGTTTCGTATCGCTGTCCCAAGTAGACGCATTATTATCATTATTATTATCATCATCTCTCGTTATTATTAACATTATTATTATTATTAATAGAATAGGCAAAAATAAATGTGCAAGATGGAAGGATGTAGCACTGAGTAGTCGAGAATTGAGAAATTTGGTCATGTTCCCATACGGCACAGATCATTGTCGCAATATTGCGGCAATATAACGACAATGGTCCGTGCTGTACGGGGTGGAAATGTGAGGCAAACAAGTTTCTGAGAGAGAGAGAAAGCGTATCGTTTGACAATACAAGTGATTCGTTTCGCAATAAATGAGTGACAGCGCAATGGCCAATGGTTATTCGTATCGATATACAGTCCGGTGAGGTACGATATATCGGGTACGCTTCGTTATGCTATAAAAGTCTGTGAGGGAGCCTTCATTCTTGCGCTCTTTCGTAACCTCGTGTCAAAGATAACTCCTTAGACGCCTGATTTCCTCGTTTCGAGATAAATTGAGAACTTAGGAAATTTGTGTAGTATATTGTCGATGAAATTGTGTAAGCGATGTTCCGAGTCAAGGAACACCGGCTTCTTAAAATTAAGGGGAGATTCTTAAATTCGAAATCGAGATAGGGGATTCTAAAGCTTTTGTATTTTTCAAAATTAGGAACGCGCATAATTTGTAGATTGGTTTCCAAGGATTTTGCATTTTGCGTAAATTGTCATATTTTTTGAGATTTTTGTAAACTCTTATATCGTCTTAATTTATAAAATTTGATTCGTATCTTTTATTTAGGTGTATATAAATTGCTGAAATCTTTTTTCTTAAATTTCTAACTCTCATATATATTTTAAACATTACACCGCGAATTATTTCGAAATTTATTTAAAAAGTTTAAAATAATTCTAGTTAAGCAGAGAGAAAGAGAGAGAGAGAGAGAGAGAGAGAGAGAGAGAGAGAGAGAGAGAGAGAGAGAGAGAGAGAGAGAGAGAGAGATGTTGCAATGAAATGAGTTTCAAGATTAAACATGAAATCATGACTTGAAATCCTTTGATTGTATCCTCAAATAATTTTCCTCATATTTCTATTTTCTCGAGTAAAAATCTCGGATCCTTGGAAATCCTCACAATACTTTAGTCTCCTTTTATCTCATTCTATAATTTTTTTATTCTTATAATCCGAGCAAAATATGACACGAACGATCATTCCGGTAGACTATTACTTTGGAGAAACAAAAAAATCAGGCTGCACACATCGACGCTTTTTGCTACTTTAAATTTACCTGCTTTAAAGAATATGAATATCGTACAAAACAACTAAAATAGCCGCCCATTGATTTATCGTGGAACCTTCTGTTTTTCGAGCGTTGTTTTTTTTCTCTTCTGTTGACAGAGAGTTTTGTCTAAATCGTAAATAACGTCAAAGTGGCGCAGAAGGATATTTTTGGCGATCCATATATTATTTGAAAGTTTACCCAACAACTGTTGCACGGCAATGTTAAGAAATTATAGAGATTGTTAACTTTTGAAATACTTGTTTCGTTAAATCTAATTAATTTCCGGTCGATAAAATCGAAAAAGCTTGACAAATCTCACGCGACAGTCGTTGGAGCAATTTTTTGGGATCGCTTCTTTAGATTATCATATCGACGCACTCTCAGTTCCCTCGAAACTTCCTCCTTCGACTTCGGGAAAAAGGCAACAGTCTACTTTTCTTTCTTATTAAATTACAAATCTTACGAATATTGCTTCCGCTTCGCACGAGCTGAAATTTTTCGCCTTGGAAAAAGTTGCGGGACGGGAGGAGTTTTGCGAATTCTCGAATTTAAAAATCCGCCTCTCCTTCTCCGTCGACGAGAACGCGTAAAGATGGAAGATCCCGAACGTAAGTCAACCCCGATTCTCGCCTCGCCTCGCCTCACGTCACGAAACGGCCGCCAGGAGGATATTTCCATTTTGTCTGGCTGGGAGATCGATGGCGATCGCCTCGAGTACAATTCCGAGGAGATATTTTGGCCGAGAAACGCGCGGAAGGATATTCCAACTTCCGCAAACTCACTCGAGGCGCTTTGACTGCGGGGGAGTGACATAAATATCGCCTCACCGAAACGAAACACGTTATCTCGCGGAAAGTTCCCTGCTGGAAGATCAAGAGAGTAAACTCCTTAAGTCCTTTCCAGGTGTTCCCAACTTCGTGGATTTTAGTACCGTGTGACGCGCGTAAAATTTTTCCTCCGAAAAACGAGAAGAGAGAGAGAAAGAGAAGCTGACCAGATCCTCGTGTAAAATTAATGCACGCCAAGTGCGATAAATTTTTTCCTCGAGATATAAAATGATTGGTCAATCGACAGGAGCCCGTTTTTTTTTCTCTTTTTTTTTTTAACAAAGCAACGCGCACAAACGCTAATTATAATTAGCCGCGATGAAGTATCTAGGCCAATTCACCCCTTCATTTGGGCATCGCAATTTACGGGGTGTACGATATAATTCGACGAAGCATGGCCAGAATAATAAATAGATTTTTATTATTATCATTATTATTATTATTCCTTCCTGCTTCCCTCTCTTTTATGCTGCTGGCGAGTTTAAAGGAATGTGTACCTTGCAAACTTTCGAGGGAACTCGAAGGCTCGAATACCAATGAGCGGCTCATTGTCGGATAATAATGACCGTGTTTTCACCGCGCATTTAACGCGAATTTCACGTTCCAGGTCTCGCATTGCATTGACAGAAAGATGGCGGGTGTCATTACTCGATATTGGAGTTTAAATTTTATCGTGAATCGATCGCGTTTCGATTAATATAATACCACGCGATCCTGAAAATGTTTGTACGATTGGTAGGTATATGTTTACGTGAAATGCGTACAACACGTGATATTCTCGATTAGAGAGAGCTGAATATTGGAACTGTGCTTGATCACGTTAACGTTATATGTACGGTGAAAACATGGGCCTTATTATGATAGCTTCTACCCTCGTAACGAGTACGTTACACGCTTCGCCTAAACGTCTCGATCGCGCGCGAGATCAGGATCATCGCGATGTTTAAACGACAGAGAGAAAGAGAGAGAGAGAGAGAGAGAGAGAGAGAGAGAGAGAGAGAGAGAGAGAGAAATTGCAAGATTTTATTTTTACCGCAAAGTGTTTTATTGTACGAGAATAATTAAAGTGCGTTGAAAATTTATTTAACCGAATATAATACGAATGATGAAAAATATATACGAATATTAACTAAATAAAATATCAATATATTTGTGTGCGCGCACGTAAAGCTTATCAGGTTATAAAATATCTCGTCTGTACATACATCGTCACATCAATTTACGAATAACATATTATCGAAAGTACTAAAACAAATTGATAAAATAAATTGGCGAAATTAAAAATAGCATTTACCTAAAATATCGTAATTTAATTAAATTGATTTAATGAAATTAATTAAGTTAAAATTAAATGAAAATATGTACGCGATAAAATTTAATTATTAATTCCCAAACATATCATTTTCTGTAAAATATTTATTTTACAAATCGGACACCATGGATGAAATACGATATTGAAATAAAATTTAATTTAGCAAAACATTTTTTTTTTTGCGTGGAAATATCTTTAACATATCTTTAGCGGCAAATCAGACTGTGATTGTACGATTGCGCATCGTTATTTCCCAAAATTCAGATCATTTATTTTATTATCGAATTGAAATACATCAAAGTATCATAATGTCGTTTAAACGATCGCGTCCATCTGCTTTCCATGCTTGTTACATTAACCACAATTCGACATCCGACACAGGATCAGTGAATATTTATCGATAATCCGCCAAGTCAGTTCTTTTGCGATTAGTCTTATATATACTCTTATGATTAGGTAAATAGTTAATTATATAATTAGTTACTTAGGCGTGTGATTAGTGGCGTGGGTGTTCCTCCTCACCCCTTTGCCCCTCTGTCCTTGTTGCGTGTCGTACTTTCTTCAATATATCGTCTCGTGGATGGCTTCGTATCGATTATCGTTGGAGAAAAAAAAAGGAGAAAAGGGACCGCCGCCCGAGTTTTAAGGATCGTCTCGAGTCGATTTATCGCAATCGAGCTTCCCTTGAAGATTCTATGTGGACTATCAAACTTATACACATATAGTCTTCTTTCCATCCTCATGTATCTGTTTGACGATTCCAATTCTGGAATCGTCGCACCGAGTCCGAGAATTCTAGGATGTGCGGATTTAGATCTTTGCGAATTTGATAAAAAGAATTAGGCCGTTGGGATGTTTTTTGAATTTTTAAATTTTTCGATGTTGAAAGAATATTTTTAATTTCAAAGAGTGAGATATATAATTGTGAATATTTTACTTGTTATTGGAAATTCTTGAAAAAAGTTGAAGATTGTCATTTTTGGGAATTTTGAAAATGATTTTAAAAAATCCCTCAGAATTTGAGATTTCAGACTAATAGGTATTTATCTGAAACCTCAAATATCTGATGGTTAGAATCTTAAATTTCTCGATTCTCAAATTTGTCAAATAATCGGAGATATTAAATACTCAGAGAACACTGTATATATGGCAACTTTATTAGATTGACTCTTACAAGGATCTTGCAATTTTAGAATCCTCGGACTGTTATTCTCTCTGAATTTTCTGTCTCATCAGTCATTCCCGAATTATCTCACCGTTTCTCTTCTTCATTTCGAACCTATTTCTTCTTCACATTTTAAAGCCGCGAAACAGAAGTGTAGGCGACGCGACGAGCAAGGATAGTCCTTGCACCCCTTAAACGTGCCTCATCAAACCCCCTTAATATCGAATCCTCGAAGAGAGAAAAAGCCCTTTTCTCTTTCGCGCCGTGATTCATTCTGGTTCAATGAAGAAAGACGCTGGTAACAGACCTGGTAGTGTGAGGGGGTAAATCGGGGGCCTCTGTGAGGGCCCCCTCGTGCCCCTATGCGCTCAGACCGAGTCGGTGAATCTTCGCCGAAAGAAAGTTGTGCAGAACGAACACGATCGGTTTTGGACAGCTCTCCAGGTCGAGCTCCTATAACAGAATCAACTTTTACTTACTGATGACAAAATTGAAGCCATATAGGATAAATAGCAACTTTAATCATTTTTATTCACCGATAAAAAAACATGAATCACCTGATAATTTACATTTAAAATAATCCCATTAAATATTGTAAGTGATGAAATGGAAAAATTTGTAATTACAGCAAGTGTCTTTTTTTAATTTGTAATTTAAATTAATATTGATAATTTAATTTAATTTAATTTGTATTTATAATTTAAATTAATATTTTTAAATTGATATTTTCGTTCGGAAAAATATCAAAAATCGATCTTCTTGATCTCGATATACTGAAAAATTCGCATGTCTAGTACTTACAATTTCGCCATCCTCGCCGCCAAAATCGAGCCACAGGAGACGGGCGCCGTCGTCCGCGGACATTTTCAATTTGTCGAAGGATCGTCTCCAGAGCGGCGTGGGCGGCGATCCGGGACTTACCCCGTTACCGGCAGTGTTCCGCGTTCCAGCGGCATAAAGCGCGAATCCTTCCTCGTGGTTGACAACCAACTGACAGGCCTTACCTTGCCATGTGCAACCTATAACACGTGCAATGTTATAAAATTAAAGTTACCCACGAAAAGCCATTCTAATAAATTCCAGTCAGTCAATGTAATTCAAAAGGTTCATTTTTCTATCATTTTTATATCAAATTTTAATAAACGCATATATATGAATTTTAACTAACCTAATATAATTCGAAAATTGTATTTTCTTATTTTATTTTTTTATTAAATTTTGATATGAATTTCTCAAATATATAAATTCTAATATAAATTCTTATATAAATTCTAATTAATCTAATATAATTCGAAAATAGTATTTTTGAATTATATCAGGTTGATTAGAATTTATATAATTTATTAATACAATTTTCTTATACAAATTATAATAGAATTTATATAAGAAAATTGTATTAATAAATTATATAAATTCTAATCAACCAAATATAATTCGAAAATTGTATTTTCTTATTTTATTTTTTCATGTTAAATTTTAATATAAATTTTTTAGATATATAAATTCTAATATAAATTATTATATTATATAAATTCTTATATAAATTCTAATCAACCTAATATAATTCGAAAATTGTATTTTCTTATTTTATTTTTTCATGTTAAATTTTAATATAAATTTCTCAGACTTTTTCTTAAAATTTCTGTTATAAATAATGTGACGAACTATAAAATAATAAAAAAAATATTTAGAAAAACTCTTCTAATTAAGCTAAAAAGCTTTTTAAAAGATATAAATCTCTTAATAGATTATCAATATATTTCTTCTTGACAAAATTTTAATTGGATACATTATAAAAGAAGCTATGAATTGCACATAAATACAGTAGTATTGAATGCAACTGGCATTAGCGTGAAAAAACGCGTACTTCCTCTTTTGACAACCGTAAACGCAATCGATAAAAAATGGCTGGATAATCCTTTTTAAGCGATCGTCGAGTTGCCATCGCGTATAATTGCCAACTAAATATTGAATTTACAACTGAATTTTTCCCGCGACACACTATCTCTCTCTTTATGAGACAGCATGTATATATTTTTCATTTCCCATTACGCGCTTCTACCGCATCGGTTCTTTATCATCGACGAGTTCGACGCGAGACACAAACAAAAAGACGCGTACGAAATAGGCGAGAGAGGCATTCATCTCGATTTATTATTTGCCGTTTGTCGTTGCTGAAAAGAAATTAAAATTCATCGAACCGAGCGCGGAGAACGACAAGAGTATAGATGTCGGGTATAGATATCATCCGCGTTGCATTTTCTCCTCTTTCTTTTTTTAGAGAAAAAAAAAGGAAAAAAAGAATGGAAAAACTCGGCCTCGCTATTTCTTAAAGTATTTCTCATTCCAGGCATTTCCTTCCACTGGATGCGCAATTTCAAATCCCCGCTCCCGCTCTCAATTTTTCGAGGAACTGTCGATTCATCGATTTTCCTGCCACCGTTTCGAGCATTTTCGAATTTTCGTACAGGTCCTTGCTGATTAAAGGGCGGTCCATTTTATCGGTGAATCATATGGCTGACGTGCGCGAGATTACTTACGAACGGTGTATTCCCGTAAGGAGTGGGCGGCCGCGTGACATCCCTGGACGATCGCCCGCGCCCAGGCCGCCAGATCTCTTCGTGTCTCGGCTCGTAAATGATGCGTGATCACCCCGTCGATCGTGCCAACCCGAACCGCGAACGTCGCCCCGTGTTGAGCCGAACCGCTGCTGCTGCTCGCCGCCTCGTTCTGCCGCGTCGGGGATGAAACCAGTCTGAAACAGTCCGCAACCAGTTCGAGATTCGAGCCACTGAAGCCTCGAGAGCGTGCATTATTCATCCCCATCGGTCGCACGGTTCGCATTATCGTTACCTCGAATCGAACGCAACCGAGTTCTCGCTCCTCGCGTTAAGGGTCTTCTCATCTTAGCGCATCAAATCGATAGATGTGCTAGTTTTCCGAATGAAGATTGAAGAGAGAAAGAGAGAGAGAGAGAGAGAGAGAAAGAAAAGCTTCATCGCGAGGCGGGGTGTAGGGGAAAAAGCGGCGACCTTTATCGAAACGATCGAAGCGCCTTGTAGCGAGTCACGGCATGGATTCATCCCCGTCGTCCCCGTTCCCCCCCCCCGCGCCCCTTTCCCGGCGGGGGTAGGTAGGTAAATTACCTCGTCATCCGGCTCGCCTCGCTCGTAAAATCGTCGCGGCTTTATTGCATGTGGGACGAAGCTGCAGCGCTCACCTGATACGGGTTCGGAACGCGTATCTCCGACCCCCGACTCCCTCCCTCCCCCTGCTCGCTCCGTGTCCCACCCCCGATCTCCTCGAATCCCATTCCCCTTCCACCCCAATCTGCCCGCTGACGAATGGTCCTGACGTTCGCGGGCCCGCGCGCTAGATTTATAGATTTTTCCGAGGGACACTGGCGAGCCACCCCCGCCTCCTCCTCCCCTTCTTTCTCTCTCTCTCTCTTTTTTCTTTTCTCTCGCCGAAAAAAAAGAAAAACAAAGAACGATAGAAAGAACATCCCCCGTGTAATAAAGGACGCAAAAAATGGCACACTTGGACTGGAAAAAATGCGTACTCCCGGAATCATTCGATGTACCTAATGGCCACTCTTTCTCCCTTCCACCCTTCTTCAGAACAAGGCAAAGTATTTTTAGCGTATTTAGCGAATCATCACTTTCATATCCTTTCGTATTATAGTAATAATAGAAGGATTTATTTAATAGTTCATTTATTGCATGCATTAAAATATTCTGGTGTCGAGAGTACGTAAAATAATTGTATGCATATTATTGAGATAAATATTTAATAAGAAACATTTATGGATAAAACATTAATTATTAATAAATTTATTAATAAAAAACACTGAAAGATATTTTTTTAAAGGCGTGAAATTTTTTTAAAGGGAAACGTTTTTTTCCTATCTATCTTAAACATTTTTTTAATATTTTCGAAGTTTATTTATTAAATTTAAAACGGTCTGCATTTGTAACAAAACGCGTTTTAATATTACAAATACATTGCACCGTAACATTACCACAATCTTACTTACTTAATGGTCTGTGCTGTATGGAAACAATTGAAGGAGTTGGAAGAAATATAAATCTGTCAAAGATTACCCAGCAAACACAGAATTTTGCAGCAATATTACAACATTGCAGCAATGTTGCTGCAATATTCTGTTGCAATGTTGCTGAGTATGCAATTTAAATATCATTTCTAAGCTCAACCATTAAAAACTAATAGAAATTGCTTAAACACCGATCAATCTATTTGAAGAATATAATTATTTAATTGTGAAGATATATTTATATCGACCTTAAAATAATAAATATAATGACAATTAGAAGGCTCGTGTATTGCAATGCAATAATAATCAAATTAACATTAAGGGGCCGACAATACGAGCAAATTAATAAGTTAGAAATAAAAATAAATAAAACAATTAATTATAAGTTCATTTAATTAAAAGATCACAAACGTTTCGACTTAACTTAGTCTTCTTCAATATGATATTTAAACAAAAAACAATATATTAAATTGGTCCGTAATTGGTCGCAAAATACAATTATAAACTAGTCAAAATGTGAAACAATCATCAGAGCGTAGATAAAGAATGAACTTATAATTAACTGTTTTATTTATTTTTATTTCTAACTTATTAATTTGCTCGTATTGTCGGCCCTTTAATGTTAATTTGATTATTATTGTATTGACCTTAAATTTCACAATTTTCTTTTATCTTTTTTTACATGTATTAAAAATATTTCACGTATTATTTGATCAAAATAGACTGAGAATCGTGCGACATGTCCAAAATAATTCGATTTTACTCGACATAATGGATATTCATTGGTCGTTATCGCTAACGCGTATCACGAAGACGGCGAAAAAAAAAAGAATGCAAAAGAAGGTGGAAGCGCGACGAAAGAAAATTCCGATAAGCGGGAGGAAGCCGGCGAGACAGCCGCAAACGGTAAATAAAAGCGTTAAACGAGAATGGATGCTCGTCGGCGGCCGTAATCCGACGAAAAAGCCCGCAGGAAGGAAAGAAAGTTTCCCTCGGGATAGCCGAATCACTTCCGGTTTGTCTCGCAGTAAAACTTCTTTAAGTCGGCCATTTCGCGCTTTCGCGTCGGGCCCGATTCGGGCCCCTTCGACCGGAAATAGAGCCTCCTGACGTATTCCACTTCTTTTTCGCGCTTCCCTTCGTCTTTTACCATTCGAAAAGAAACTTTGCGTGAACGAATGTCTGAATCGTTCGGCGAGGAAGAACATGATTAATAGCGACAACACGAAATTCGTGGAATATTTTCTTTCGATGAAATCTCTCCGATTTTGGAAAATATCTCGATAATCATTTAATATTTGGCTATCAAAAAAATTAATAAATAGGATCTACGGCATCATTAAATTTTCTGATAATTTTTACGACCAGATTAAATAAAAGTTGTAACATAAGAATACGAGAAAATAAATGGCCGGATATCGTCTCGGAATCAAGTTTGCCAAACAATGAGAATATCGTCTACATGAACTATATTATATTGACCTGCGTGATAATAGTTAGTACAGCAAGTTTGTTTCTATTGTGATTAACTTAGTATTATCTGTACTCGCTGCTCAAACGCAGTAGTCAAGTTTAATTAATAACTTGAATAGCATTATCTCACACTGTTGGCTGAATATACAAGAATGGCAAATAAATATGCCTTAAAATGGAGTAAATGAACAACGATATGATTGAGGAGATTAAAAGAAAATATTTCTAATTCTTCCATATTTTCCCGATGATATTATATAAAAACTAAAACCGCTTTAAAAAATTCACTTTTAGCGAATTTATTTTAAGAGATATTGTAAAAAATATATTTTATAAAATACGCGCGCAGAAGGACTTCCGATTTCTCAACAGTGAAACAAATAGTATTTTTGCTCTCTTCCTCGGGATTTTCGTTCGGGAGAAAATGATACTCGGAATGTCCCGTATATCCTATATATATAATGGACGCGATAGAAAAACAGAGGACGCGGACTCGTAAGCTGCCACGGAACGATCGATGCCTGTGTTACGGGCTTCCGGGCCTTTTTCACTTAAAATTTAAACGAGGCTTAGCTGGATCACCGATCATTCAAACGGCGTGACTGCCTGACACCGCATTTAAGCCGCTCGAAAACGCGAGGCGCTCGTAGTTAAAAAAAAAATGAACCTGACATTAATTCGCAACAATGACGCGCGAAGGGTCCAACGCGATATAAAATAATGCAACGGGACGGGATTTCCGGCATCCTCGATACACATAACATTTGCATTTTATTTTTCCGCGTGTTTACAAAGGGACACTTTTACATTAAACGGTAATAGTTTTTACATATAACGTTACGATATAAATTTTACATTCATTACAATTTTAAACGTGCAATAAAAAATAAACGTAACATTTTGCGTATTGTTCGAATTTAGAGGTGAATTTTCCCCAGCCCTGTTGCCTGAATTTCAAAATTTTCGATATTCAATATCATTTGAATAACTATGGACGAAATTACATTTTGAATGACTTGATTTATATCCAAAGATAATTGAAGGATGACATCTTTTTGTCCACTCGCCAATTTAATTACGTTTGAATTGTATCAGTTGAAATTTTTGAAAGAAAAAAAAAATCAAATCCAGTCTTGTCAGGAAGGACATGCATTCGAAGCTGGATGCAAATTTTATGAAACATCGAACGCATATAAAGGATATAATCAAAGGAGAAGGAGAAAAAAAGAAGATCTGAAAGAATAAGAAACCATAAGATTTGAGAAAAAGGATCTGAAGGAATAGGAAGAGAAAAGTATTGGAGATAGGAAGTAAATATTGGGATTTAAAACCTCAGTTCTCCTTTCATCCTCAAATATATTAAAGTTTAAATATAGTATTTCATAATGTTGTTTCTTTATATAAGAAACCTCTTTTATTTTTCATTGTGCTTTTATTAGTATTTCATGAATTTTCCAACGCAAATAATTTTGATTGCATCCGCGCTTTATTCAATTTGTTTATTAATTGTGTGATTCTCATTTATAAATTTTAAACCAAACTCCGCAATATTCGCAAGTTGTTGAATTTATTATGCACACATGCATAAACATAAATAAATACGCACGTATACTTTAACATTTGTTGCATTCAAAATTAACTCGCTACGCATCCTGAAGGACATATGTTTTCGCGACGCGATATGCACGTGTAAAAGCGTGCGACCAAAATGTCATTCAACCTCGAAAATAATAACGATCGACGACAGAAATGGCATAGAATATTTAATCGCGGAGAAATCCGATTAAGACCCGAGATCTCGTCATAACAAGTATCGACTTTTGGCGCAATCCTATTGACACTCGCAACACCTATATTTGTTGATTACCGTCATCGAGAAATTTAATGATTGTAAATTGTCAACATGTAATCTCTGCAATGACAGCCATCCAACGTATTTAAACGCAAATTACGATTTTCCTCGTTCTTCAAAAGACAGTAATATTAATCTCGCGAATCAAACGAGTAGGATCACTCACGTAAAATTATTAACTTTTTTAATATTCCAGCTATAAAATTACACAATTGCATCTTTGCACGATGGCAGATCTTTGTCGATTCGAAATAACGCGCAGCGCAAATCCAATCGGAGTCGCGAAAAAGAAGCAACAAAAAGACGAGATGAGCGCTGGAGATCCGTCTTTCTTGCTATCTCGATTTTTCGCCGTCCAATAAAGTCAAGTACGGCT